GTTTTCACTGGCAAGAACAGAAAGAGCTCCATCTGGTGTCACTGCCCACATGGCCACAATGACTGGCCAGAGAAGCCGGGAACCAGGAGTCCTGTCCAGTCTAGGTGTCATGGCTGACAAGAGCCCAGCCCTTGGAACTGTCACCACCACTTCCCAGGGACTGCGTTGGCAGGAAGTGGAGTCAGAAGCAGGGATGAGACTCCCGTGTGGGATGGGAGCATCTGGGACTCTGAGCCAACAGCCAGCTCCCTCCTGACCGCACGGACATCTGCTTCTGTGGCCACCTTGTGGCCAATTGAGCCAGCCCACTGGTGCTTCCTGCCCTTGGTCCTGGGGGACCTGGCTGTGCACTTGGTGAGGCAGTCCCCAGAGGCCAGCCCTCACTTGCTGTGGCCCTACCAGCAGCTGATTAAACCCCACTGGCCCCCTGTATTTCATTCAGGCCAGCTGGGCTCCCCCAGGAACTCCCCTAGTCAAGCAGGGAAGAGCATCTTGTGATGTGGATGCAAATGTGACATGTGCCGTCACAGAGTGTTGCACGGGGCCCAGGTGCGGAGGGAGAGTATTGCTGACTGTGACCTCATGCCTGTCCCTAACACACTGCGCTGACGAACCAGCTGTACAAGGACCAGCACTGATGACAGGAGAAGCTCAGGGCTACGTGGACTGGAACTCCCTGGGGGCTCCATGTCCGGAGGCTGGGACTGGTTGGAAATGCATCTGGATTCTTCTAGAAAAGAGCCCTCAAGTAAGAGGCCTAGTAGGCATGCAATAGGAGCTAGTCGTCTTCATGATTCTGCTGACCACATGGCACTTGCAGCCACTTCACGCCAGGCTGATCCCTGCTACAGGTGTTTTATTGTTACTAATTTATTGAAAAGGAACAGGGCCTGGCACGATAGCCTAATGGCTGATCCCATATGGGCACAGGTTCATGTCCTGGCTGCTCCACTTCCAAATCCCTGCTTGTGGTCTGGGAAAGCAGTTGAACACAACAGCTCAAAGCCGCATGTGAGACCCAGAAGAAGCCTTTTGCTCTTGGCTTCATATTGGCTCAGCTCCAGCCATTGCATTACTTGGGGAGCAGACCAGCAGATGAAAGATTTTTTTAAAAAAAGATTTATTTTATTTTTATCGGAAAGGCAGATATACAGAAAGGAGAGACAGAGAGGAAGATCTTCCGTCCAATGATTCACTCCCCAAGTGAGCGCAACGGCCGATGCTATGCCGATCTGAAGCCAGTAGCCTCTTCTGGGTCTCCCACGCAGGTGCAGGTTCCCAAAGCTTTGGGCCATCCTCGACTGCTTTCCCGGGCCACAGGCAGGGAGCTGGAAGGGAAGCGGGGCTGCCGGGATTAGAACCGGTGCCCATATGGGATCCCGGTGCATGCAAGGCAAGGACCTTAACCACTGCGCCATCGCGCTGGGCCCAGATGGAAGATTTTTATCTCTACTTTCCATAAATCTGATCTGCCTTTCCAATAAAAATAAATTAATTAAAAAAAAAAAAGAACAGTGACTGACAGAGGAAGAAATCTTTCATCTACCAGCTCATTCCCTAAAATGGTTGCAAGAGCAAGGGCTGGGCCACGCCAGGAATTCCCGTGACTGCAGCAGGGGTCTGAGCACATGGACCGTCAGCCTCTGCTTCCCAGGCACATCAGCAGGAAGCTGGACTGGAAGCAGAGCAGCCGAGGGTTAGAAGCAGCACTCCCACGTGGGGTGTTAGCATCCCAAGTGGCTATTTTTTTTCTTTTTTTTTTTTTAAGATTATTTATTTTTATGCAAAGTCAGATATACAGAGAGGAAGATCTTCCATCTGAAGATTCATTCCCCAAGCGGCCGCAATGGCTGGAGCTGAGCCAATCCAAAGCCAGGAGCCAGGAGCTTCCTCCAGGTCTCCCACATGGGGATGCAGGGTCCCAAGGTTTTGGGCCGTCTTCGACTGCTTTCCCAGGCCAGAAGCAGGGAGCTGGATGGGAAACAGGGGCTGCTGGGATTAGAACCAGGGCCCATATGGGATCCCGAGTGTGAAAGGCGAGAACCTTAACCAATACGTTATCGCGCCGGGCCCGTGATTATTTTTTTTTAAAGATTTATTTATATTGAAAAAGCAGATCAGATTTATGGAGTGAAGGAAAGACAGATAGAAAGGTCCTCTGCCTGCTGGTCCACTTCCCAAATGGCCACAAAGGCCAGAGCTGAGCCTATCAGAAGCCAGGAGTCAGGAGGTTTTTCTGGGTCTCCCACATGAGTGCAGGGTCCAAGGCTTTGGGCCATCCTCTATTGTTTTCCCAGACCATAAGCAGGGAGCTGGATGGCAAGTGGGGCAGCTGGGACATGAACTGGTTCCATATGGGATCATGGCACTTGACCAGGGAGGATTAGCCAGTTGAGCCATTGTGCCAGGCCCTTGTTTTATGTTTAGGATGTTGTTTGTTTATTGGAAAAGCAGAGTTCCACAGTCATAGGCAGCTGCCTAGGTTGCATTGTACCCAGGCAAGTTGTTCCACTGCTGGACAGGCATTCTTGGCCTGGTTAATGCCAAATCTGTTGCCTATAGAGCAATACCAGTGTGCCACCATAGTTGCCTATCTTTTTTTTTAAAGATATGTGGGGAAGACAAGAGTGCTGTGCCAGGAAGTGCCAGCCCAGCACCAGGCAGGGCCATTGCAGATTGCCCGGGGTCTGGGGATGTGCTGGAGTGAGAGCAGCCAGGGGCATGTTTGACAGGGGAGAACTGACATGGGGCTTTCACGGACCCGGCCACTACACTCGCAGGTTGGCAAGGGAGCTGAGATGGAGTGGTTTCAAGGGGAGAACTGGAGGGCATGCTAGGCACCTGCCCCCATGGGAGGCCTGGGCATCACCCATTGCCCGCTGCCTGCTGGTACTCACAATTGCTGGGGTTGAGAGGCAAGCCTGACTAGCTAGGCCACAGTACTGACCAGCAGGTGTCAGATCAGGGGGTGGGCCACGTCGGGCTGGGCCACAGCATCGAACAGAATGTGAGAGAACTGGATTTGGGGACGGATTCTATAGGGGACTTGGGGCTCAACTCTGTGGGACAGCAGCACCCACTGGTTGGCAAGAACCAGGGGTGGTGACGGGCAGAGCCTAACACTCCTGGGAACTAGGGCTGAGTGGAGGCTGAGCAAGGCCAGCTGGAACACCAGCTGGCACATGCAAAGTGCCACATGGATGGGCATCCCTCTCGGCTTTGTAAACAATATTTTAAAAAAAGGAAAATAGTTGAGTAAAAGAAAAAAAAAAAAAAAAGGTAGTTATACAGACGAAGAGGCAGAAGCAGAGAGATCTTCCATCTACCGGATCACTCCCCAGATGGCCTCAAAGATCAGTGTTGATCCAAAGCCAGGAGCCAGAAACTTCTTCCAGGTCTCCATGGGGGTGCAGCGGCCCAAGGACTTGAGCCAGCCTTCTCTGCTTTCCCAGGCCATATGCAGGGAGTTGGACTGAAAGTAAAACAGCCAGGATAGGAACTGGTGCCCATATGGAATGCTGGCACTTGCAAGGGGAAGATTAGCAAATTGAGCCATTGTGCCAGACCCTCTTTCTTTCTTATTTATTTATTTATTTATGTATTATTTGAAAAGCAGACTTACAGATAAAAGGAGACAGAGAAAGAGACTTCCCATCCACTGATTCACTCCACAAATTGCCACAGTGGCCAGAATTGAGCCAATCCGAAGCCAGAAGCCAGGAGCTTCTTTCGGCTCTCCCACGTGGGTGCAGGGTCCCAAGGCTTTGGGCCGTCCTCTACTGCCTTCCAAGACCATCAGCAGGGGGCTGGAATGGAGTGGAGCAGCCGGGACACAAACCAGTGCTGCCCTGTGGGATGCAGGCATTCCAGGCAGTGGCCGCCCCAGCTGCGCTGCAACACTGGCCCCTCGTGTCCCTGCTTTCTTTTCCTGCAGTGTGTGTGTGTGCCAACTTATGTTTACTATTATTTATATAGTTGAGAGGGATGTATGCCCATGTGGGCCTGTAATTAGAGTGGAGAAGGTCAGGTCAAGGTGGAAGGTGGGTGGAACACTTTTCAGGTTTATTTGTTTATTTGTTTTCTGGTTTCTCCTCAAGGATAAAAGAAGGGGCCCTGCTGTCACTTCATCAGCACCCAGGGATGGGGGACAGTCATTTGATGACACCTTAGGGACCCCCATGTGGGAAAGAGTATTACAAGGGTGTTACTTGAGTGATTTTGTTGCTCCAGGGATGGGACATCTTTCCAATGTCTACTGGCCGGCCAAGCCCATCTTAGTGCATCCAGAAACCTGCTGCAAAGCTCAGCCAGGGGAGTTGTCCAACCTGTTCTGCTTTCCATCCTGAAGAAGCAGTCAACACCCCCCCTGCTGGCCTAGATGAGCTGACTGTCATGTCCCCCGTATGCACCTGGACATGCTGTCCACTGCACAGGCATCAGCAACTGAGGAGGTCCAGTCCTGACATACGCACTCCAAGATCAAACCTCATATCTTGGGATTTTCCATGTGGCTGGGGTTTGAGTCCAGCCCTGGCTCCCACAAGTGTCAGTGAGTTCTACATTCCAGCCTGGCTCTGCCCATCACCACCTCCAGCTGTCATGTAAATTGGCAGGTGTGGCAGTCCCACAGAGATATGCCCAAAGTCCCCTATAGAATCCGCCCCAGATCCAGTTATCTCACATTCTGATAGGTCCTGCAGCCCAGCCTGACATGGCCCTCCCCCTAACACCCATACTCATGGGCAGAAACCATGTCCTAGCCCAGTCAGGCATGCCACACAGCCCCAGCTTTTGTGTGTGCCAGTAAGCGAGAGGCAAGGCTACTTGCCTAGCCCAGCTCTCCCATGCAGGCAGATGCCTTGGCCTGACCCAGCTTTCCCCCTCTAAACCACCCTGTCTCCGCTCCCTCGCCTACCTGCTAGTTAGTGGCCCTGTCTGTGGAAGCCCCCAGAAGACATTCCTTACCTGCCAAACATGCCCATGGCAACCCCCACTCCAACATGACCCCAGACCTCTTTCCTCAGGCAATCTGCAGCCCCACCATGCAGCAGCATGTGCCATGTCTGGGGGCCAGCGTGGTATGTCCTGGCCTGGAGTCCCAGCTGCTCCACATGGCAGCTTGCAGAGTTCCCCACATATCTAAAAAACAGAATAGGCAACTATGCTGGCACACTGGTATAGCTAACATAGAGTTGGCATTAACCAGACCTAGAATGCCCACCAGCTACTGACTGCTTCTCTCCCAGCAGTGTAACACTCGTCTAGGTACAAGGCAACCCAGGCAGCTGCCCACAGCTGGGGACCTGGTGTGTTCGTGATCATTGACCACTGTTTCTCTTGGCATTTGTGTCCCTCAGGGATCCCTGGATCCCTGATCCAGAAAACACATTGGAAGCACCCGGCACTTCTGTGAGGTCTCAGTCCAGTTTTCTTTCCTGTCCCATAACATCCAAGGGAAACTAACAAAGAAAGTGGGATTATGCAGCACAAACACTGGGAGGTTCCAGGACAAAATGTGGCATCCATGGAGAGCCTGAGAGAGGAGATGGTCATGTGAGCCGGCAGGAGGTGCAGCTCGGGGCACAGACTTCATCTCCTGGCAGCTTGCTCTCGCAGGAGCCACTTCGGGCACATAAGGACCGAGGCCCCCCGGCTGACGCCTTTGATGCAGACTTTACCTGGCTCACGGTGTCCCCTTCAGCAACTCTTAATGAACTCGCTTAATGAATGGAGTGATTGGGCACCAGTTCAAGTCCCAGCAGTTCCACTCCCAATCCAGTTCCTTGCACCTGGGAAAGCAGCAGAGGATGGCCTAAGGGTTTGGGTCCTTGTACCTATGTGGGAGACCTGGATGGGATCCAGGGGACCAGCCCTGGTTGTTGGGGCTATTTGGGGAGTGAACCAGCAGATGAAAGATCTCTCTCTTTCTCTCTAATGCTGCCTTTCAAACAGATACATTTTAAAATAAATAATCCTAACTTGCAGCATTCATGTCGCCTCTGTCGTCGACTCCTCAGTGCTGGACTCAATTCTGAGAACCTCCTAGGGCTCTAATGACACAAGGAAACCCCAGTCAGCCCCACACAGCCCATGTACCCCAAAGCTGCCTCTGCTTGCTTACTTTTTTTTTTTTTGAAGATTTATTTTATTTATTGGAAAGTCAGATGTACAGAGAGGAGGAGAGACAGAGAGGAAGATCTTTCGGCCGATGATTCACTCCCCAAGCAACTGCAACGGCCGATGCTATGCAGGTCCGAAGCCAGAATCCAGAAACTTCTTCCAGGTATCCCACACGGGTGCAGGGTCCCAAAGCCTTGGGCTGTCCTCCACTGCTTTCCCAGGCCACAGGCAGGGAGCTGGATGGGAAGTGGAGCTGCTGGGATTAGAACTGGCGCCCATATGGAATCCCGGCACGTTCAAGGCGAGGACTTTAGCCACTAGGCCATGCTGCCGGGCCCTGCCTCTGCTTTCAAGGCAAACTCAGAGAGAGAAACCTCCTTCCACTGGCTCACTGCACAGACGCACACAACAGCCAGGGCCAAGGCAAGGCCAAGAGCCCAGAACTCCAAGTGGGTCTCCCAGGTGGGTGGCAGGAATTCAAGTCCCTGAGTCATTCTGCGTTGCCTCCCTGGGTGTGCCTGAGCAGGAAGTGGGACAGGAAGCGGAGTAGCCAGGCCCAGCACTAGGCTTTCCCACGGGATGTGAGTCCCATGTGGCCGTTGCTCCAGACACCTGCCCAGCACACAGCAGCTCACTGACTGCATCATGTGACCCATCAGAAGACAGTCCCAAGTGCTAGGGATGAGCCAGAGGCCCACGTAGGCGTGACCCTCACCCTGCTTCACTTCCACAAGCAAGGACTCTGTCCTCCTGATGTCCTGCTGTTCCGGGAGTGCAGGACTGCACCAACAGCTGACTGTGTCAACACTGGCTTGCCATGGGCATCACATAAGCCAGCCTATTCCTGGGGACGCGGAAGCAATTCCTGTACACATTCTGGGGTGTTCTAGAAAGCACAACAAACATCCCATCTCAGGACAGCACCCCAGTGACTGAAGGGGGGACCAGGCCTTAGGGTCTCCTAGCAACCAAGCCAAAGCAGGTACAACTGGGCAACTTGGCTTTCACTGTAAAACGCAGGGAGCCTGGAGCAGGCAAGCACTGTGCCATTCCCCCCCACCACCACCACTGTAGAGAGGAGAGTGGACCCACAGGTTGCCAGGCCCCACAGGCTGCCAGGCCCCAGAGTCAAGTTGGAAGAGGATGGGACTCTCATTGTCCCAGCTGTATGCTTTAGGCACCTTCCTGGGCCACACCAGTTGTTAAGATTTGAATGCCCAGTGCAATGGCTCAATGGCTAAAATACTCACCTTGCAAACGCCAGAATCCCATTTGGGTACTGGTTCATATCCCGACAGCTCCACTTCATTCCAGCTCCCTGCTTGTGGCCTGGGAAAACAGTGGAGGATGGCCCAAGGCCTTGGGACCCTGCATCCACGTGTGAGAGACCTGGAGGAAGTTCCTGGCTCCTGGCTTCAGATCGGCGCAGCACTGGCCATTGCGGTCACTTGGGGAGTGAAACATTGGACGGAAGATCTTCCTCTCTATATCTGACTTTTCAACAAAAAATATATACATCTTTAAAAAAATAAATAAGTCTTTTAAAAAAAAGATTTATTTGAAAGGCAGAATGGCAGAAACAGGGTGAAACCAAAAAAAAGGTATTTTCTCACCCACTGACTCACTCTCCGAAAGGTCACAACGGCCCAGGCTGGCCCAGGCTGAAGCAGGAGCCTGGGAGTCTCCGTGGTCTACCAGGTGGGGGACAGGGGCCACAGCACCCGGCGGCTGCGGTCTCCCTAGGTGCGCGTTGGCAAGGAGCTGTGCTGTGAGTGCAAGTGACCAAACGCTGCAGCCAGATGCAGCGTGCCAGGAGTTCAGCCAGCTGTTCGACAGCTCCCGCCCGGGGGCCAGCCCCTAGAAAGCCTCCCAGGAGAGAGGACTCGGAGTGGATTACCGGAATCCCAGGCCCAGTTCTCCCCCTCCGTGGGGGCAGGGCACAGCGCTGGGCAAACAGATCAAAGGTGAGAACGACAGGGACCAGTCCAGGCGCACAGACACCATGAGGTGCGTGGGCCATCCCAGGTCCCCACGCACAGTGGGGCAGGCCAGAGCCCTCCTTCAGCACCCCTGCCCCGCGTGCAGGCTGCTGGTGGTCCTGAGCCTCCTGTGTGCGGCCAGGTCCGCTCCCGCGGGGCCGCAGTGGCCCGAGCCCCTGTTCGGGCGCCTGGCTTCCCCTGGCTTCCCCGGGCAGTACCCCAATGACCAGGAGCGGCGCTGGACCCTCACCGCACCCCCCGGCTACCGCCTGCGTCTCTACTTCACCCACTTCGACCTCGAGCTCTCCTACCTCTGCGAGTATGACTACGTGAAGGTGCCAGCGAGGGGCAGGGGTGGCCAGGGCAAGGGGTGGGGGTGACGCTAGGAAGATGGGCAGGCCTGGGGACCACCTTTCCTTCCCGTGACTGATGCCGCAGCTGAGCTCCGGGAACAAGGTGCTGGCCACGCTGTGCGGGCACCAGAGCACGGACACAGAGCGCGCGCCTGGCAACGACACCTTCTACTCCCCGGGCTCCCGCCTCGAGGTCACCTTCCGCTCCGACTACTCCAACGAGAAGCCCTTCAGCGGCTTCGAGGCCTTCTTCACGGCGGAGGGTGAGTGAGCCAGGGGTCACACCGGGCCACCCAGCAGGACAGGGCGGTTGGGGACTGACACCAAACAGCACACACTGAGAGGTGGAGCCCTGGCTGTCGTCCACCGCCTCCGATGGGCCGGGGGACCCCGGTTTTAGACAACAGTCCCTGGGGGCAGCGGCCTGAGCTCTGTGCGGCTCACCCACCTCTCCGGGCAGCCCCAAGCCCGCTGGCTGCTGGCCGGGGCTGGACCATCACCCTCCCCTGTGGGACTCCCCCTCCCTCGCAGGCACCGACTCAGGGCCACACAGGGGTCACTGCGACCTGCCAGGGAGGGGCGGCCAGCTTGGTGCCATGCCCTGCCCTCTGAGCCCCGTGCTGTGCCCCTCCCCGCCCCAGACATCGATGAATGCCAGGTGCCCCCGGGAGAGGCACCGGCCTGCGACCACCACTGCCACAACCACCTGGGCGGCTTTTACTGCTCCTGCCGCGCCGGCTACGTCCTCCACCAGGACCGGCGCACCTGCGCAGGTGAGCCTGCCGAGGAGGGGAGGAGCAGCTCGGCCATTCCTGGGCCAGGGGCATCTCCTCGCCGCCTGGCTCGCTTGGCCTAGGGCCCCACTGTTTACCTGGGCTGGAGGACCCCACGGCAGCCGCTCCACCCCTAACTCGGGCAGCCGCTTCTGCTGCTGCCTCATGGGTGGGAGAGCAGGGACCCCTGGGCCTGCCTCCCCCATCCCCAACCCCTTCCCTCCACGGAACCACAGGCCTCCCCTTCCCCACACCTGCACCTGCACCAAGCACCTGCGCACCAGCCCTGACCCCACCCCCGCTGCCCTCCTTCGCGTTGCGTTTCTCGTTTCTTCCAGAGCTTGACCGCTAGCCCCCCTCAGGCTCCGGGCGGCCCAGGGGGTTGGAAGCTGCGGGGAGCCCCACCCAGGCTCCGGTCGCTGCCATCCATGCATGCGCAGACCCCACAATAAACTGGCTCCACCCGACCTGCGCCTGCGTGTCTCTGGGGCCCAAGGGTGCAGGGTGGCAGGGCCGGCCCTGTGTCTTCTCCTCTTTCCCTCTCAGAGTTGGGGGAACATCGTGGGTCCTGTAGCTGTTTGATACACGGAAGGAGCCCCAAAGTCTCAAGGGGGTACCCCCAATGCCCCAGGCGGTGTCCCTGGAGATCAAGCTGGTTGGCCGTGGGGGAGCCATCCAAGACCGAGCAGCCGGGGCAATAATTGAGGGGTTTGTCTGGTCTCCCAAAACCTGGGGTCCATTCCACCTGCGTGAGAGCGAGCAAGCCAGCGGTGAGGGGACCCCAGCCCCCAGACATCTCAGATCCTGAATCCATGCACCTTCCCCACTCCCTTATGTGGTGGCCCCGGCCAGGCGCGAGGGCAGGAAGGACAGCTGACCTGGCTGTAGTCGTCATCGGGCTCCCAGGGGCAGAGTGCCAGCAGGCCGGTCCAGGCTGCCCCACCAGAACCCCCGGAAGACCAGGCTGCTCCCCGCCGGATCCGGGAGGAGCCCCCTGGTGGACGACTGTGGGAATTGCTAGGGTGGGCTGGTAATGCCGGACGAGGAGGGGCGTCCCTCACCCTCCTCCCTCTGGCAGAGCTTCCTTTGCTCAGTTCTGGGATTGCTAGCTTGGCGGGATGCCTTCAACCTCCAGGAGCACGAGTCCCCAAGACCGAGGAAGCTCCTTTCTAAACGGCTCCAGAGGCTTCTGGTGGTGCCTCCTGTGCTGGGAGTGCCAGGTGTGCTGGTCCCCGGCTCCCCAGAGTCAGCACACCCAGCTGTCAGCGCTGGTCATGCCAGCATCCTCTTCCCTCTTGCCAGCTCTATGCCCAGGCCTGGTGATCAGCAACCGCTCCGGAGAGTTCAGCAGCCCTGCCTTCCCACAGCCATACCCCAAGCTCTCCCGTTGCACCTACCGCGTCCACCTGCAGGAGGGGTTCCGAATCACCCTGGACTTTGTGGAGTCCTTCGAGGTGGAGGCACACCCCGAGACCCAGTGCCCCTACGACTCCCTCCAGGTAAAGTCCTTGGGGACCCTGGCATTGTTCGAGCCAGTTCTGGTCAGTCCAGCTCAGCCACCCCCCTTCTGCACCTGTCCCAACTCCACTCAGGTTCATCACAGTAAGGGACAGGGTCGGCCCAGCCAGGATCCCTGGTGGATTCCTGGGCTTCTCTTTCAGATTCAGACAGACCACGGGGAGGCATTTGGCCCATTCTGCGGGAACACGCTGCCCCACCAAATAGTGACAAACAGCAGCGCTGTGACCGTCACCTTTGTCACTGATGAGTCAGGGGACCACACGGGCTGGAAGATCCGCTACTCAAGCACAGGTGAGCAGCCTGAGCTGCGGCTTGGAGCTGCGGCTGTTCCTCCTCAGAATGCAGGAGCTATGTGTGGACTTCCTGGGGCAGGCACGAGTGGGACCCGCCCCAAGTCTCCCTGTACTCTGCCATCGTTCCCTCCTGCCTGCCTTCATGTATCGGAAGTCGCAGGGATACAGACGGAGATACGTGGAGCGGAGCCGGGGGAAGGAGGAGGCTGCCCCAGGACCACAGGGTCATATCCCCCAAGTTCCTTATTCAGTCACTTAGTCATCTACACCGCCTGGCTCCGTCCACCTGTTCACTCATGCTGGCATGCCAGGATGGATACAGAATACAGACGTCATGGTCCCCACGGTGGAAGCCCTCAGGCCAGTGGGACCAACATGGCCAGAGCCGTGTGGCAAGCCAAGCCTTAGACAGAGGCAGAGGAAGAGACTGGCACGGGTGGTGGGGGCAGGGGAGGGGCCTGGCATGGCTGGGGCAGGGGAGGGGCCTGGCATGGCTGGGGCAGGGGAGGGGCCTGGCATGGTTGATGGGGACAGGGAAGGGACCTGGCATGGGCGAGGCTGGTGCCCGGAACAGGCAATGCCCTCAATCGCACTCTGAGGGTGCTGGGTCCCTAGCACAGGCAGCACCCCTGGGGATGAGCCAGTCCAGGTCTGGAACCACCACAGCTCAGGGGCTGTGCCAGAGCTCCGCCCCCTAAATTCCTCTGCACAGATCCTCCCCCTGCAAGCCCTGGGCTCCCTCAGGGCCACCAGGGTCATGCCATCTGGGGCGCTGCCCTCCCCAAAGGAAACTGAACAGGGTCAAGTCACCCCAGGACGCAGGCTGGGCTCATGGGACCCATGGGAGGCCACAGTCTGGGGTTGGCTTGCAGCCTGGTGGCAGCCGGCCAGCATTTGGGGGTCTGAAAGGGAGGGGGTGGTCCCAGTGGCCCGAGCACCAGGGTTGGTCTCCCCCTGGGTCTTGGGGCTGTGGCCTGCGGTCCTGGTCTCTCACTGTGTCCCGCGGTTCTGCTAGGGGCTGTGTGAGGCTCAAGTCCACTCGCTCTGTCCCGGTTTTCAGCCGAGCACCTTCCTTGGCCCCCACAGCAGCCTGGACCCCACGCCCATCTCGGATGAGTGGACGGAGGCTCCGGAGGGTACAACCATGCCATCAGCCCACACTGCTGGGCTCTGCCGCCCCGTGCAAGGGGCACACTGTGGGGGTGAGGGGCAGGGCCCCCCACCGCTTCCTCCTCTCCACCTCCTTTCTTTCCCACCTGGGCCAGTGTCCATTTGCAGCAGCCACTGAGGGTTTCACCTTAAGAGCCCTGCTCGCCTGGCGCACGCTCTGTCTGCGTGCGGGCTCCAGGTGCCTGAGCTCACTCCTGCCGGCTGCTCCCACCGAGCCCGGCTGTCCCTGACCCGCTGGCCAGCGCCCTCTCCCCTGTGCAGCGCAGCCCTGCCCTGATCCAGTGGCGCCACCTAATGGCCGCATTGCGCCGGTGCAAGCCAAGTACGTCTTCACGGACAGCTTCTCCGTCCACTGCGAGCTGGGCTACGAACTCCTGCAAGTGAGTCAACGGGGACCTGGGGACCCCGCGCAGCCGCGCTCCCCGGAGGGGACGCTGGGGGGGGGGGTGGGCAGTCTAGGCCATCCTCCTTCCCTGTACCCCCTTATACATATATATATATATAATTTTAGATTTTTTTTTAATTGGAAAGGCAGAGAAGGAGGGAAAGATCTTTCATCTGCTGATTCACTCCCTAAATGGCTGCAGTGGCTGCAACTGAGCCGATGTGAGACTAGGCCCCTCCTCTGGTTCTCCCACGTGGACGTAGGGTCCCAATGCCTTGGGCCATGCTCCACTGCTTTCCCAGGCTACAGGCAGAGAACTGGGTGTGAAGTGCAGCAGCCGGGATACGAACTGGCGCTCAAATGGCATGCTGGTGCTTGTAAGCGCCCACCCATTTACAACTATGCGGAAAAGCTGGTGGTGAGCACAGCCGTGTGCTCACAGCTCCTGGCCTTCCTATCAGATGCACGTTCCCCTCCTAAGGGTGAGCAGGCAACAATGAACTTTCCCCAAGCCAGCTCGGGTCCACAGCAAAATGAGAGGGCGCGAGAAAGGGCGTGCTCTGCACAGTTATAAATAGTGATTGCTGCTGAGGGAGAGGAGTGGAACTTTAAAAACTGCTTAGCATGTGGCTTTACGGGCACAGGTGAGAGATCAATGTGCCCTCTTCATGTTCTTCAAGATTGTCACGGAATCCCAGTGGTGAAAGCGATAACATTGGAACGCTGGCTGGCTTCGCACGGCCACGGAGACATGCCGCACTTCTCCCACCTTGGGCCAGCTCTCTCCGCGGCCTCGGGGCCTGCCAGCGTTCAGTTGGATTTTTAAAAAAGACTTATTTATTTGAAAAGATGAGTTAAAGAGACAGATCTTCCATCTGTGGTCCATGCCCCACATGGCCGCACGAGCCAGGAGCTTCTCCCGGGTCTCCCACGTGGGTGGAGAGGCCCAAGTGTTTCCTTTGCTGCTTTCCCAGGCCATGAACAGGGAGCTGGATGGGAAGCAGAGCACACAGGAACTCTACCAGCTAACCGAACACCGGCCAGTTTATCTATTTTTATTTAAAAAAAAAAAGTATCCATCTTTATTGGGAAGGTAAATTCAGAGACAAGGAGAAGGAAAGATCTTTTGTCCACTGGTTCACTCCCCAAGTGGCCACAATGGCCAGAGGCGAGCCAAAGCCAGGAGCCAGGGGCTTCCTCCAGGTCTCCCATGCTGGTGCAGGGTCCCAAGGTTTTGGGCCGTCCTCAACTTCTTTCCCAGGCAACAAGAAGGGGGCTGGATGGGAAGCAGAGCAGTCGGGACATGACTGGTGTCCAGATGGGTCCCTGGTGCAAGAAAGGCGAGGATTTAGCTACTGAGCCATTGCACTGGGCCCATCAATTTTCTTTTTTTATTTTAAAGAAGATTTATTTATTTTTATTGTAAAGTCAGATATACAGAGAAGAGGAAACACAGAGGAAGATCTTCCACCCACTGATTCACTCCCCTAGTGGCTGCAACTGTTGGAGCCAGGAGCCAGGAGCTTCTTCCAGCAAGCAAGGCAAGGACTTTTGCCATTAGGCTACTGCGCCGGGCTCCCATTAATTCTATTTTTTAAAATCCTGATATCATCATTGCGTAAAATTTCTGTTGGGGGGGCCCGGCGGCGTGGCCTAGTGGCTAAGGTCCTCGCCTTGCACGCCCGGGATCCCATATGGGCGCCGGTTCTAATCCCGGCAGCCCCGCTTCCCTTCCAGCTCCCTGCCTGTGGCCTGGGAAAGCAGTCGAGGACAGCCCAAAGCTTTGGGAACCTGCACCCGCGTGGGAGACCCGGAAGAGGCTCCTGGCTTCGGATCGGCATAGTATCGGCCCGTTGCGCTCACTTGGGGAGTGAATCATCGGACGGAAGATCTTCCTCTCTGTCTCTCCTCTCTGTATATCCGCCTTTCCAATGAAAAAATAATAAAAATAAATCTTTAAAAAAATAAATAAATAAATAAATAAATTTTAAAAACAAATTTCTGTTGGGGGCTGGCACAGTGGCTCAACTGGGGTATTCTCCACTTGCAAGCACTGGCATCCCGTATCAGTGCGAGTTCATATCCCAATTGCTTCATTTTTTTTTAAAGATTCATTTTATTTTTATTGGAAAAGTGGATATAGAGAGAGGAGATACAAAGAGAAAGATCTTCCGTCCAATGATTCACTCCCTAAGGGGCCGCAATGGCTGGAGCTGAGCCAATCTGAAGCCAGGAGCCTCTTCCGGGCCTCCCAAGTGGGTGCAGGGTCCCAAAGCTCTGGGCCGTCCTCGACTGCCTTCCCAGGCCACAAGCAGGGAGCTGGATGGGAAGCAGGGATGTTGGGATGCCATCGCGTCGGGCCCCAATTGCTTCATTTTTGATCCAGCTCCCTGCTTATGGCCTGGGAAAGCCATAGAGGACACTCTATGGCTTGGGACCCTGGCCCCACACGGGAGAACTGGAAGAAGCTCCTGGTCCTGGTTCTAGCTGGCTCAGTTTCGGCCATTGCAGCCATTTGAGGAGTGAACCAGCAGCTGAAGGCTTTTCTGTCTCCTCTCTCTGTGGCTCAGCGGCCCCGAGACCCTGCTTATGCTTGCTACAGTGCAAATCAAAGCCTATGAGGCATTGCACACCTGCCACCCGTGGGACGTGAGGGGAAGCACTGCCTGGGGGCAAGCAGGTGACCTTCTCTGCCCTCCTCTGCAGGGCCACCTGCCCCTGACGTCCTTCACTGCTGTCTGCCAGAAAGATGGGTCCTGGACGCCCGCCATGCCAGAGTGCAGCAGTATGGTCCACGCGTGGGGACGCCACCTGTTCCCATCGCTTCTCTGCTTTGATTTTTCCTGACTGCATCTCTCGGCTGGAATCCCAAATCTGCTCTGCTCCCAGCCGCAGCCCACCCGCATGTGCAGACAGGACCAGGTGCAAGGGAGGGAGAAGGGTCTGCTCAGGCAGTGGGAGCTATGGGACACCGCCTGCTGAAGCCCTTGCTGCGAGACCCTCACCGCGGCAGGCTCGGGTGTGTGCCCTCCCACCTGTGGACATGGCCTGCTGTTGCTGCAGGAAGTGCTCACACACGGGCCATCTGGTGTGCACTTACGCACACAGCAATGGTGTGTACACTACTGGTGTGAAAATAACCCTGCAACTTTGTATTATTCCATTCTCAAAGTGCCAGCTACTTGCACAGAAACTTAGCAAAACAGACAGCAACAGCCTCTGAAGTGCATCCTCCCAGCTTCTTGCCATTCCCGGGGGTTACGTGCATGCAGCATCGTGGCTGTCATGCACAGAAGGGACGCGCCTTCGCACCCACACTGCCGGTCTGCCCCCCGCAGCTGCGGTGTCCCTTGTGGCAGGTTGGCCCCTGCACTTCCCCCACACTGCCCCCTTTGGGACAATAGCTGTTTGCCCTGCTCAGTGGCTTCCCTTCCTTTCACAGTCTAATTATTTAAGCAAAGGAATTTGTGGAACTTACCTTCCTCTTGCATCATTTTCCGAGGTAAGGCCTCTGAGTGGCGCTGTTTCATGAACAAGGCCCACCTTCTAGGGGGAAGCCTGGCACGAAGCCATCAAGTTTCAGGTGACATTCAAACAAACACACATCTGCAGGGTTCACACCTCCACACAGACATTCTCACATTTTTTGTTGAGTCCCTAGCAAGGGGGTGTTTCTTTTTTACCATAGATTTTTCCAAGCATGAAATACGTCCCCAAAGCAGGTTCTGGCAGTGTTGGGGTGGGGGTCAGGTCTTCACAGGAACACTGGGCCTGCCTTTTTTTTTTAAAATTATTTTAATTGGAAAGTCAGATATACAGAGAGGAGAGACAGAGAGGAAGATCTCTTTCTCCATTGATTCACTCCCCAAATGGCTGCAATGACTGGAGCTGTGCTGATCCAAAGCCAGGAGACAGGAGCCCCTTCAGGGTCTCCCATGTGGGTACAGGGTCCCAAGGCTTTGGGCTGCCCTCGACTGCTTTCCCAAGCCACAAGCAGGGAGCTGGATGGGAAGTGGGGCAGCTGGGATCAGAAGTGGCACCCATATGGATCCCGGCACGTGCAAGGCGAGGACTTGAGCCACTAGGTAACCGTGCCAGTTCCTGGGCCTGCCTTTTCTACTACACACTGTAGGCACGTCGCCCGCTCTGACGGCTCCCCTGTAGACCGGGGGCAGCACCACACCACAGCACCAGCAGTGGACGTCAAGCACGTGGCTTGGAATCAGCTGTGCAGCTGTGACATCACTGAAAATGGTTGGAACAGATATTCCCTCTACTAAAGCTGGGTCAGTGCCAGCAGCCTGGGACTCCATGAGGTCTCCCGTGAGGGCGCAGGGACCACCTTTGGTGCCCCAAGGTGTGCAAGTGGCAGGGAGCCGGCGCTCCCAGAGGGGACATAGCCACTTCCAGCAGCATCTCAGCCCTGCAGCCCATGCCTACCCCAGCATCACCTTCCTGACCACTTCGGCTGTCCACTGTAAGAGCCCCCTAGCAACTGACAAGTTCACACCAGCAGTGTCCCCGCCCTCTTAGTGCAGCCTCAGTCTTCCAGCCTCTCTTGCCCTCTTCTACCTTGGCAGCCACTTGGCCTGAACCCAGACGCTGCCTTTTCTCTCCCATGTTGCTTTGCTGCAGCCCAAGGCTTGGAGGGACAGTAGAGGAATGCCAAGTGACTCGGCATCCCCTTCAGGGAAGGTCTCACACTGTGGCTCCCTCCAGGGACAGCCCCGCTGCTTAGTCAGCAACAGTGAGGCGCGCCCCAAAGCCCTCTCCTGTGCTCTTTCTCAGTCGTTGACTGCGGCCCTCCGGAGGACATAGCCAACGGCCAGGTGCGCTACGTCACAGATGCTGATGTGACCACGTTCAAAGCTGTGATTGAGTACAGCTGCGAAGGGCCCTTCTACACCCTGAGTGTGGGGGACGGTGAGTTCAAGCGGGCAGGCGCGAGGGCATATCTGGAGTCCATAAATTATTTTGGAATGAGAGGGAAGATGATGGGTGTGAGTTTTCCATCCACTACCTCATTCCCCAGATGGCCCCAGATGGCCCCAGTGGCCAGGCGAAGCCAGAAGCTTCTTCCTGGCCTCTGCAGGGTTAACCCAGATCAGCAGGGAGCCCGACTGGAAGTGGTGTCTCCAGGGATGCCAGCTTCCAGGCAGTGACTTAGCCAGCTATGCCATGATGCTCCAACATTTGGAACCTGAGCCTTCTTGGTCTGAAATAAACAGACACTTCTGGAAGAGGCTACACAGCAAAAAATGAAAAGGCGTTTTCTTCCACCCGCTAAGTGAAATATTACAGTGAAAGTGGCTTTGATGTCAATTTGCAAGACTCTGAAAACAGATCTTATCTAGTAAATGACTACTACCAACACACAATATATTCCAAATGGTTTAATTTAACAAGTCAAAACCTTATCATTAAGCACTTGAGATCTTGATACATATTCACATTGCACATCTGAAAGGTTTCCACTTTGCAAGCTGTTTATGAAATCATGGGAAATGGCACCCAGAGCCGCCCACCCAGGCTCAAGAACTAACATTTCTCAACGGGGCATTCAAGCAAGTGACAGCCACCTCTGCACGCAGCACACAGTTCTGAATTCCCATGATTTGCAGGTAAATACGTATGTGAGGCTGACGGATTCTGGACCAGTTCCAGGGGAGGAAGATCCCCCCCGGCGTGCGAGCCTGGTAACTGATGGGGGGGGGAGCGTGCCAGCGTGAGCTGCGCCAGGCAGGAACGCAACTTGGCTAAGTTACAATTACAGCCTGTCTCGGCCGCCCCTCCCATACGGAGGCCTGCTGCGGGCTGACTCCACCAGTCACTGGGTTATTTTTGACCTCATAACTAGGCAAACATAAAAATGAAATGATTTCTCAAACTATCAATTTGTACATTTATAAACATGAGTTCTTGTTACTTTTCTTCTCTGTAAAAATGCTATTAAAACCCAAAGCTAATAACTTCATTATTTCCCTAAGCAACTGTTTTTTAATGACATCTAGTTTTTAAACATTAATGCAATTTGCCTTTAATAGTACTCAACATTTTTACCAGGATTGGCTCTAAAGATGAACACTTTAGTGCTTAAACAGAAAGGTAATAACCCTCACCGCCCTGCGTTATCTGGCTTGAACGAGTGTTTCTAAAAGCCTGTTTGGTGGCCACACTTGAGCACTAAACAAGAGGCACAGGGCCTGGTACTGCAGCAAGCACAATTCATTTGAAATACACAAAGACAATTTATTTGCAAGGCCGTAATTCCAGCCCCTCGCCTGTGTGTCTGAAGGTGAACATTCTAGGTGTCCCAACAGCAGCCCAGTTCCTGCCTTCCCACGTCAGGCAGCCGTCACCCCGCCCGAGGACAGCAGTGGCCAGGCCTGCCCCTCCAAGGCTGCTGGCCCTGCTCCGTGGCTTCCTCCGCTTCACAGATCCAAATTTTTAAAGTAATTTGATTTTCAACTCACAGCATTTTCTGAGGGGGTAAGAAACATGGATTTTTTTTTTTTCTTAAGATTTTTTATTGGAAAGGAAGATATACAGAGAGGAGGAGAGACAGGAAGATCTTCCATCCGATGGTTCACTCCCCAAGCGGCCTCAATGGCTGGAACTGAGCCAATCCAAAGCCAGGAGCCAGGAGCTTGTTTCGGGTCTCCCAGGCGGGTGCAGGTCCCAAGGCTTTGGGCCGTCCTCAACTGCTTTCCCAGGCCACAGGCAGGGAGCTGGATGGGAAACGGGGCAGTTAGGATTAGAACTGGTGCCCATATGGGATCCTGGTGCATTCAAGGTGAGGACTTAAACGGTTAGGTCACCACGCATGGGCCCAAAAACACGGAGTTTTTATCAGGTCTTTGAGAGTGGTACTATTTAAGAACAGGCCCCACTTTCTTTGGGGAGGGTGGGCACATTCAAATGGTCCAAGCCCAGGGGCCCTCCCCACCCCGGGCCACCTCTCACGTGCTGCCTTCCTTCCCCAGTCTGTGGGCTCTCGGGCCGCACCACAGGAGGCCGGATCTATGGCGGGCAGGCGGCCAGGCCTGGTGACTTCCCTTGGCAAGTCCTGCTGCTGGGCCAGACCACAGCAGCGGGCGCTCTTCTGCAGGATAACTGGATCCTGACAGCCGCTCACGCGGTCTACGGACAGAGAGAGGAGGCGTCGGCCCTGGACATCCGGATGGGTGCCCTGAAGAGACTCTCGCCTGATTACACCCAAGCCTCGGCCGAGGCCGTCTTTGTTCACGAAGGGTATGTGCATGATGCTGGATTCGACAACGACATAGCACTGATCAAGCTGAAGGACAAAGTCAGAATCAACGCCAACATCACACCCATCTGTCTGCCCAGCCAAGAGGCCGAGTCCTTCATGCGAACGGATGACATGGGAACAGTGTCCGGGTGGGGATTAACCCAAAGGGGTTTCCTTGCTAGAAAGCTAATGTTCATTGACATTCCAGTTGTTGACCAGAAAAAATGCATCGCAGCTTATGACAGAACCCTCTACCCGGGGGTCACGGTAACCGACAACATGTTTTGTGCCGGCCTGCAGAGCGGGGGCAAGGACAGCTGCAGAGGGGACAGCGGAGGGGCCCTCGTGTTCCTTGATGGCCACACACAGAGGTGGTTTGTGGGAGGAATAGTGTCCTGGGGCGCCTCTCATTGCGGGAAAGCTGATCAGTATGGGGTTTACACCAAAGTTACCAACTACATATCCTGGATCAAGAAGATAATGATTTCTAACCAGTAAACGCCTCAAGTTCAGAAATCCATGAGCCATCCGAGCCCAGTACCCCTGACCCGGCCCTCCCTCCGCGGTGCCACCCACACCAGCTAAGCGCACTGCTGTCACAGCCGCACTAAGTTAGGCACAAAGCAGTACATTTCTGTCAACCACAGGTTATCTTCTATTGCTCAACTGGTTTCCAAGTTTTTTCTCATCTCCAAGCACACAGCTGGTTCCCAGGTCACTTTGAATCTTTTCTTGGATAACTGCATACCTGGATTCTTTAGTCGTAGGAGTTCACCCATTTTTAGGTTAAAGATAACAAAAACCAACACCAAATAGCTGCGATTTTATAGTCAGTAAGTTGCCAGACACCAGGAACGTGGAGTGACGCAGTCCACACCACGTCCACACAGACCTTCTGGGCCAGCCCGGCACACGCTCCAACAAGGCCACCATCGCCCGAGGACAGAATCCACGCGGCGCCTCCACAAGACATTTCAGTAGAAGGAAGTGGGGCCGCAGCAGACACCTGCATTTCTTGCTCAATGACCAGCCGGCGCCACTGGAGCCCGGGCCACCCACCGCATCCGCGCCAGCCAAGGGCGGGAGCTCAACAATTCTCGTCCTCGCACAGACCTGAATTCTGTAGTAAACTCCTTTTTTTTTTTTTTAAACAAAATAAGCACTGATTTAACTTAGCAGTCCGGCCATTTAGCTGAATAGGAGGCGCTCTAAACACCCATGGTAATTCCTCTTGTGCATGAGTCACGTGTGGCTTCTGCAGAGCCTCTTAAAAAGGTCACTTTCCAGCATCCTTGTCATGTATCATAAAAAAGTCATGTTTTTTCCAGTAAGACTCCGGACACTAAACTGGTGGCAATAAAATTTTTTATTCAATGTGTGGTTCAAAAAAATCTTTTTTAGAATAAACGCATTTAGATGACCAAATAGACTTTCAAAAACAAATCTTTGCCAAATAGTTCAAGTACTTCTAAGTTTCAATTTTTTTGCTAGGGCAGGATATACACCCACACTATCGCAGAAGCGGAAACATGTTAATAAAAGGCTACTCAACAGTGAAAGCCTTCTACGACCAGTGACTAGATTTACACAGTGATAACAAGGGAGTAAAACCATGCCATTGACAAGTTAACTTACCCCGGCTCCTTGCAGGCTGTCAGTTTAGTCTGTGGAGTGTTACCATGTTACCGCTGCTGAGTAACAGCGCAAATGCTAAAATGCAAAATTCAGATGGTACAGGGTTTGGAAATCATGCAGACTCAGATGCAGAAAAATTCAAAACTCAAGATCCTTTTACAGAGGAAACTGACTAACAAACCAATGTGGCAATCACAACGCTGAGGGTGACTTACAAATGACACCTATTTACCATAATCTGATTTGGTAAGGGCATGATTAGGTAAGCTACAACACAAAACTATCACATTCTTCCAATTAGAAAACGAGCTCTCCTCTCACAGATTACATCAAAAGTACAATTGAGAATGTATTATTGCTTTCACATACTTCACAACGCACGCTGAGTCTGGTCTGAGCTCTGTCCGTCACAGCACGCCCCCACAACTGGCGGCTCGGCCCATTTAACCCTTTCAGACAGACCACTCCCCCTGCTAGTTCTTAAAGCTATCAGGCTTCTAATGGATTTTAGGCACAAGAAAATCTGTGGTTTCTTCCACTTTATCCCTGTTGCAATTAATTCCACTTTTTAAATCCCCAACTAGGAAGGTGTTCATACAGTCCTTTTCCAGCTGACGCGTTTTGCTACAAAGCACTGGAAATACTACTGCACTGCCCAGTCCCCCAAGTGAGAATGTTTAAAGTCATGTTTTCCCAATGGAGACCGACACAGGCCATGTTGGGAGAGCACCACCCAGACGCAGAGGCACTGCTTACCATGTCAGGGGTGGGCACCCAGACTTGTGTCAAAAAGAGGGAAAAGAAAAAAAATCAAAAAACTTTTCACTTTGGACAATGCAAGAACGAATAGCAATTAAATCTGGGTGTCAGGTGTCAGGCCTGACAGGTGATGAATCCATCTGACTTGAGACAACTTTTCAATAAGTTTATTTGAAGCAAAATAAACTATCGTCAAGAAACTTTATGAAAGTTCCATCTCAAAAGGGTCAAAAAGGGGAATTAACTGCTATGGATTCTTTGCATTCAGGGCTGCAAAACAAAGACACATATTATTTAAATCAGTTTTATTTAAGAATTTCCAACATTGACAACTCTTATAAAAAGCATCCAAGCACAGGACACAGAACTGCAGCAAACAGCATTCGTATGGGTAGCTAACAGACATTGGAACTTCCACCCTTCTCGGAGCCACCTGAGCTCACTGCTGAACTCCGCTTCCCAGGACTCCTGCAAAGCACAGCCCAAGCTCAGTCCATGTGCTCACCCCAGCAGCTCCAGTCCACATGCCCACACGTACAGGTCAGGAACAGCGGGAACACACACCATACAGCATTCACAGCAATTGACAGAGGGGCAGGGAGATACAAGTGTCGTTTCACTTAACACATTCAGCTAACGTGGCTTATCTAGGAACAAAACTCACTTCGAGTCTTCCAACAATGTGGCTGTCCTTTGAATGCAAGAACATTCGTACGTTATTTCCTATCATTGCTCTCCGCACACTCTCGCACCAAAGCCACCGGATGGAGAGACACATCTCGCCCAAGTTAAAAGTATCCATTATGCACCACCAGGTCTCTGCACGCGCTCTGCTCCCCGATCATACTAGCCTTTCATGCCTCGGCACCACCATCAATCCCACACAAGGTTTCAAAAGTTCAAACAGCCTTCTGGTTCCATATCACAGCCTTGCGTTCACAGCGTTGATACGACTCCATGAAATAAAGAGTAGTGGATAGAAATGGGACACCCACCGTCAAGGACACGGCCTGCGCAGCCGAGGGCGTGCTCCTGGCGGAGAGTGTGCAGAGCCTTCCTATGGCAGACTATTTACAGCACTACTTTCAATGAAGTGCTTCTTCCAGAAACATTTGAACTGAGATGAACTGCAGAGATTAAACGAAGGCTTCATATCGTACTTTTGCATGTGAGGGCAGACAAGTGTTAAAAACGCAAAACCCAACGGACCAAACACTGTGACACCATCATCTCCTAAGGGAAAAAATCCATCTGGTGGGGTTCAAATTAAACCAAAGAGAAAAGAATGTAGCTCCAAATCAATGGCTTCCACTTTGAACATGCAAAGGATTCACTCGACAAGTCCAGGGATAAAACATTACAGGAGGAACCTTTCGATATTAATTGTAGTGTGTTGGTTTACCCAGCAGGCAAACAGCAGCTCACTTTCAACCACTCAATATTTCAACCCTTTTTGTAACAAAACTTATAAAATTCCTTTAGCTCTTCTTTTTTTTCCCCTAAAGAAAAATGTCAAAAATACTGCGGAATATACTTCACACCAAACAAACCGATTTTGAAAATTCTTAGTACATATGTATTTTACAATATACTTACCATGAGTTTAGAAAAATTCGAATTCCCACCATTCCATACCACAGCCCACTGTCTACATTCCCCAGCCAGAAGACTTGGAATCCATGCTGGAACCAAAGCCGCCATTGAAACCACTACCTGAGCCTGCGTTGGACGCTGAGCCCCAGCCAATCGCTGCCCCCGAGTTGGAGCCACTGTAGGAGTTGTTTCCAGAGCCGAAGGCCTGGTTGGGTTCCCTCTGCATGTTGCCTTGACTTTGGTTATTGCCCGACGGGCCTGACTGGCTCTGCTGACTGGCCAACATGCCCATCATCCCCCAGCTGCTCTGCAGGGCTGCCTGCGCCGCGGCCATCATGGCTGGGTTAATGCTGAACGCCCCAAAGTTCATCCCCCCGCCCATGTTACTGCCTTGATTGTTCCCCAAGCCAGCTCCACCCCCTCGACTGTTCCCAAAGCCACCCTGATTCCCAAAGCCACCTGGATTACCACCAAATCTTCCACTTCTCTCTAACTGTCTATTGCTATTGTGCTTAGGCTCGGCGTTGGATATGTGCACGCTGATCCCCTTAATGATCAAGTCTTCTCCACACAGAGACTGGGCGACCTGCAGGAGGTAAGGGACCAAGATGAAGAAAACCGAAGTGCTGACTCAAACACTGCAGCAGCACCACGCCTCGGGTGCCGAGCCGCAAGCTGGCTCCCCGGACCCTGCAAGGCCCACTGGGCCAGGCCAGCCCAGCACGGCCCGTGGCTCTGGTCACGGCAGCGGTGACACTTCCTTGGCTGAAGCACACTCAAACCCCACACTAATGGTTAAGCCGGTACACCTCGGCCCTCCCCAGCCCAGAAAGCGTAACCAAGGGCAATGATACCTGATCATCCGCAAACGTGACAAAGGCAAACGCTCGGAAAGGCTTGGGAATGAAGACGTCCACCACCTCCCCGTACTGGCAGAAGAACTGCCGTAACTCGTCGGCCGTCATGTCCTCTGTGCAGCGCCCGACAAACACCTTCCGGCTCCGCAGCGGCTCATCCGGGCTTTGCTGGTCAGGCCGAGAGCAAGAGTGAGCAGAGCCTCCCGGGGGCCGGCACAGCCTGCCTGCCTCACAGCGCGTCCGCCCGCACAAAGTGGTCTTTCACCTCAGCCCCTTGAAGAACATTCCCAATTAGAAAGCCTGCCAAGAACCAGCCGAGTGATGCCCCAGAGGAGCAGGCCTGGCCTGGCTTGGCTTGGCTGGAGGAATCTCGGCCTTCCTAATAAGATTAGCAATCTGTTAACAGAGAGCCACTAACAAACATTAACTCAACAGGGAAACAAAGGAGAAATGGGGGCCCAACAGAGGCGAAGTCATAACCGAGTGACCTCAACACTCGGTGCACACTGGCCTGCCGAGACCAAAGGGCCGGCAAGGACTAACACAGCACCCCGCCGCTAACTTTCCCCAGACACTTAAAGACACTTGTAAAAATTCCTGCAAAATTGAATTAAGATTTTCTTGGGAGCAGATTTTAAAATCCATCTTGTCATGAATCTGCATGCATCTTTCCCAAACTTTCTAAAGGGCTCTGTAGTCACGTTTTGTTTTACAGCTCTCTAGGCCAGTCAGCACAGGGGAGCCCAGTACCTTCGAGTTGGGGAGCTTACAGTCACACCATCGCCCATCTATCATATGCCGCTGTGACATCACTTTCACCTGGGTCTCATACTCCGTAAAACGAACAAAGCCAAACCCTTTGGAATGACCCGTTTTAATATCTTTTTTGACCTAGAAAAGACAGTTTACTGTTAGAATACCCATATGTGAGGTCGGCAGAGTGGCGCAACAGGCTGATGCTCTGCCTGCATCCCACATGGTGCCGACCTCCGCTCTGGCTGCTCAGCCTGGGATCAGCTCAGCTCCGGCCATGGCAGCCCTTTGAGAAGTGACCCAGTGGAGGAATCGTCTCTCTGTAAATTGGACTTTCAAATAAAAAAAAAAAAAATCTTTGAATTAAAAACAAAACAAAAACCCCCAACTCCCCAGTCAAGATGATAGTTTGAATAGCTTTAGCTAAATGCACTGGCTTATTGAAAACATAATTTTAGCACAAATGATAATTGTGGCAAATATAATTTAGGTTTAACATTTCTTTTTTCTTTAGATTTATTTATCTGAGCAACAGAAAGGACAGAGAGAGAGCCCCTCCACGGGCTCATAGCCCAGTGGGGACTGGATCTCCCACACGGACAAGGACCCAAGTCCCTGGGCCACCACCTGCTGCCTTCCAGGCCTGTTAACAAGAAAGCTGGTCAGAAACGGAACAGCTCGGACACTGCCACATGGATGCAACATGCTGGGCAACAGCTGAGCCCCTGCAGTGCTGCGCCACCAGCCAGCCCTCAGAAAAGCAGAAAGTATCAGTGTAAAATTCAAAGTGAAAAGCCAGCGCCACTGGCTCCACAGCCTTCACGGCACAGAGGACATACACGGCACATGAAGAAGCAACGCGAGCCAACGTCCTCTGCCTGCAGCACAGACACTATAAAACAATGACCAAGCTCCTCCACTCACAACGCAGGCGGCATTCAAACAAGAGGCGCGTGGGCGCCCACTCCTGATGCACCTTAAGAACTTCAAGTTTACCTGCACCATCAGGACTTCTCCGAAGGTGCTGAAGTAGTCCTTGAGATCCTGCTCGGTCGTCTTCCAGGGCAGGCCCAGCACAATCAGGTCAGACGTCTTCTGGACCGCCCTCTTCACTTTCACGGCCGACGATGCGTCAGTCTCATCCATTTTCCTCTTGTTATCTAAGCAAAAGAAACACAACCCTATTAGAAACCTTCGGTTGGCACTTCCCTTAAAACATCTTGTTCCCCATACCAAGAGACCAGACACAAAAGGAGAAAGAAGAGAGCCTGGAGACAAAGCAAGGAGACGGAAGGGAGGCCTGGCCAGGCGACTGAAGGGCTTCCAGGGTTCATCCTAGCGATCCTAACATCAAGACCACATGAAGTCTACATTCTCTTCCCCCAAGGGTTATCAAAATAAAAATCATTCCCTTAGCTGTGACTTTAACCAGAGTAAAGACAGGGCGAGTCTCCCTTCGCAGCTATTAGGCCCACATGCTCGGGACGGGCCCCCGAGGAGTGCCTGGGTGGGGTCTGCAGCTCAAGGAACTGGGTTCCTGCAGTGCCCAGTTCCTGTTTCTGGCCTGGGGTGTCAAGCAGCAGAGGGGCGCTCATGCTGAGAAACTTCAGAGTACGCGTGTCTGCTGGAGCACTTGACTCACAGCTACATAAAGGTCATCCCAGGCGCCTAGGACTGCTGGTGTTTCCTCTATCAATGATAAACAGAGAAGAAAACCCGACAGCTTATCCAATCTTAGGTTATCTGGAAGGTGACAAGAACTAAAGGACATCCTTGCAGGCAATGAGGGACACACATCCGCTGGGTCATTTCCAAACACTCACCACAACTGCAGCGGGCTCAGGCCAAGGCCAGGCCCTACGGGTGGCCTTCCCTACGGGTGGCAGAAATGACCTGAGCAGCTGATTTGAAAGGTTTGTTTTAAAGGTCCAGTTAGAGAGAAACAGGGAAAGACAGAGGAGAGGTCTCAGGGCCAGCAGGTGTGGCACAGTGGGGTAACGTGCCTGGGACCCCGCAGCCCTCAGGGGACCCGACCATTCCATCTCCAGTCTAGCTCCTGCTAATGTGCCTGAAAAAAAGCAGCACAAGATGGCCCAAGTGCCTGGATCCCTGCCACCCACATGGGAGACCCACGGGGCTCCTAACTCCTCTACTTGACCCGGTCTAACCCTGGCCCTTGCAGACATTTGGTGAGTAAACCAGGGGATGAAGATCTCTAACTTCCCCAAACACAAATCTTACCAGCTCCTTTCACCCCCCGCCCACACCCTGCAAGGGCCAAAGCCAGACACCCCACGGGGTTCTCCCACGTGGCTGGCAGGGTCCAAGCACCGGGACCAAGTACACCAGCAGGCAGCTGGAGAAGAGCCAGACAGTGAAGGCACAGCCCCACCTCAAGGCCTCAGCTGAATGGGATGCAGCCAGTGTCATTGGAAGCCAACTCTTTGAACCATCACTGCTGCCTCTCGGGCTGGGCAAGAGCAGAAAACCGGGTGTCCTGGTACAACTGGGCGGGACTCAGACCTAAGCACTCCAACGCCAGTGCAGATAGCCAGGCGGCGTCTTAGGCTTTTTATCCATCTATTTATTTGAAAGGCAGTTGTGCACACACAGAAACGGGGAGATCATTGTCTGTTCACCCCCTCAAAGGGCTGCGACGGCTCCAAGCCGCGAGGGTGCCCGGCTGGGTGCAGGGCGCGGGCACCTGGCCATCTCGCACTGGCTTCCCAGGCGCATCAGCAGGGAGCTGGACCAGAGGCAGGGCACCGAGGGTGGAGACCCAGCTCCTGACGCTGGCAAACAAGCATTCTAAGTAACACTGAAAACGGGGGGCCAGTGTGCCCTGCACCCACCTTTGGGGTAGTTCACCACATACACCAGGTTGCCCCAGCCATTGTCGGGGGCGTGCAGGATGCCCTCCACCAGCCGCACCCCACGCATGCACTGAGACACGGGGTTGCGGTAGCGCAGGCCGCAGGCGCCGGGGAACTGGGCCGTGACCGTGGACAGCAGCACCGTGCCGTCGTCCTCCGACGGGATCTCAATGGGCTCGTCGTTCTCATCCTCAGTTACTCGGATATACTCGGACATCTTGTCTGCTGAGTCTGTCTGGAAAAGGGGGAGAGAGATGATGGTTCCCTGACAGCGGGGTTCACGGCCGCACCCCCTGGAACACCAAAACCACGGCCTAGTCCTGACCGCCGACCAAGGAAAACATTCCTTCGATTCGGGACTCGTCTGCTATCGGCTCACCCTGGGAAAGGGGATTATATTCTAGAACACGGGACGCGTGGTCAGTTCGCCCACTCGCAATATACTAAACGCCGGGTGCTGAAAACTAACTAGGGAGTCGCGCGCGGGGCAGGGACGAGACACAACCCCGTGAAGGAGTCACTTCCCGACGACCAGGACGCGGCGGGCGGGCGTGTGTAGGGGTCCACTGCGGGATCTCCCCGAAAAGCGGACACAACGGCCCCCCAAACCCCCGAGGCCTGAGCACCGCGCACACCGCGCACACGGCGACCCCCTGTCCCACGCGCGATGCCCCCCAGGGAGGAGCAGCACCCAGCGCGGCCCCGGGGTCCCCGGCCGCGACGCCCCCCAGGCTCCCCAGGCGCGCGGCCCTGAGCGGGGCCGGGCCCTAAGCAGCCTCCCGCACGAGCCCGCTCGGGCCGGCACGGCCTCCCGCACGGCTCCCGGCCGGGCCGAGGCGCCCCGGGGCCATCCTCCGGGAGAAGCGTGCACCACTCACCGGCTAGGCCGCAGCTAGGACACCCGCCGGGGAAACGGACAGCAGCAGCCCAGCAGAGCCCGCCGCTTCGTCCCCACAAAATGGCGCCAGGGCCGCCTCCTCCTCCTCCCCGCGCCGGCCGCCGCGCTGTCCCAGCGACTCCGCGCCCAGAGGGGGAGGGCGCCGCACAGACGCGCGGCCAGCCCCGCCGGGACCCCGGCTCCCCGCGACGGGGCCGAAGGATGGAGACCACGCCCGGCCCGCCGTGCAGCCGCGACTCGGGCCGAGAAGTTCAAGGCTGGAGCACAAAAATGTGGGTGTGAACGCCCCCGACTCCCCCCCACGCAGCGTCGCCGATGGTTCCGTCCGACCAACCGTCGGCGGCGGGTCTCGGCCGGAGCTCGCGCACGTCGAAAGCTCGCGAGACTTAGCGCGATCCCGGAAGGGTGAGGCGGAGAGTGGGGCGTCCGCGGATGCGCGCGTGTGTCCGTGTGGTCAGCGGGCTGGGAGGCCAGGTGGCCGCGTCCTAAAACGGGACGCCATGGTTTTGTTGTAAATAAAAGCACAGCTCCGTTCTATAAGTGACAGATCAGGCTCGCCAGGTCCTACTGGGGGGCAGGTGCAAACCCCAGCTCTGAGGTTCTAGTAGGACCTGCCCGCTGATAACGCGTGTGTTGAGGCACCCCTTTCGTTTGTGAACCCCTACCCGCTAATGGGGTGTAGGGGTGACATCTCGACCTTGCTGGGGGCCAAAGCGGGGTGCAAAACCGCCCAGACCGACCCTGTGGCCTAGCGGGTAAACCTGCTGCTCATCGCAGCATCCCGTGTTGGCGCCCGGTTCAAGCCCGGTCTGGTCCACCTGCCCTCCTGCTCCCTGCTTATGGCCTGGGGAAGCAGCAGAAGGCGGGCCCAGGGCCTTGGGACCTTGCACCCACATGGGAGACCTGGAAGGGACTCCTTTGTTTGCATCAGCCTAACACTGGCCATTGCCACCATTTAGGGACTGCACCAACAGATGAAATATTGGTCTCCTTTTCTCTGTAAATCTGCATTTCAACTAAAAATAAATAAGTCTTTCTAAAGCCTTTTCTTTTAAAAAGTTTATTCGGGGTCCAGTGCGGTAGCCTAGTGGCTAAAGTCCCTGCGTTGCACACCCTGAGATCCAATGTGGGTGCCGGTTTGTATCCTGGCCACCCAATTTCTCATCTGGCTCTCTGCTTGTGGTCTGGAAAAGCAATGGAGGACGGCCCAAGGCTTTGGGTCCCTGCACCTGTGTGTGAGACCTGGAAGAACTTCCTGGCTCTTGGCTTCAGATTGGCTCAGCTCTGGGCATTGCAACCACGTGAGGAGTGAATCAGCAGACGGAAAATCTTTCTCTCTCTCTTCCTCTCTTTATATTTGACTTTCCAATAAAAATAAATAAGTCTTTTTAAAAATTTTTCTCAACTTTCTTTTTTTTCTTTTCTTTTCTTTCTTTCTTCCTTTCTTTCTCTCTTTCTTTCTCTTTCTTTCTATAATCTTACTTGGTTGAATAGGATACAAAGGATCGAGGGCTTCAAGAAAGTGGGTAATACCATTGTTTCCACACTAATATCATCCCCACCCCCCAGTATGTGGGCTCACAGCAGAAACAAAAGGAAAAGCCCCACCCAGCCTCCCACCCATCCCAGGTCCCCAATGTGGGGCGTGCCCCAAGGGTCCTGCTCAAGCAGTTAGGATAGTTCAATAGTTCTGAATTGCTGTCAATCTCGCCGTTCCAAGCACGATGAAATCTATTCAGAATCCACTGGCTGACATAGTTGGGGTTATGAGATCAGTTCAGTTGGAGGGATCTCCAAAGAGACCTCAGCTGAGGTGATCCCAGACCTGATTCTTGGATGTGCTTGCCAGTATGGGGCTGGCACAGTCCGTCGCCCTAAGCAGCTTATGCACGTGCTGGTCGTTGCAATTGCTGCGTCAGTTCTGTTTCCAGCCCTCTCTTCCATGTGAACTGATGGGTGTTGCAGTCCAGTCTGATCCTGCCCACTTCATACCTGACCCTCAGGCAAACCAGTGGGAGCTGCAGCCTAGTTGGGGCGACTTCCCATACCCCGACCAGGCCTGCCCCTACCCTGGTTCCCATGCTTGCCAGTACGTACCGCAGACTTGTTCAGTCTGTCCCACATCCTATTCGGTTCTCGTACATGTCAATGGACCTTGAAGCCTTGAACCCAACCAGCCCTACTGTCCAGTCCACACACATACTGCCGGGTGCCTTTCTGTCTAGCCACCCCTGCCCCAATCCTGGTTTTCATGCTCTCCGGTGGGAGTGGTAACCCAAGAGGGAGGTGCCCACGATTTCCCTCCTGGACCACTCTCACTCCTGATTATGCACTCTCCAGATGGTTTTGGAGTTTAACTTGACAGATTTAGCCCCAAGTGCCAGCCTCTGCCAGGTGATGCTGTGGCAAAGCCCAGCCAAACCTCACCCACTCTAATTTTTGCTTGCACCAGTCAGAACAGCCAGCCGAGCCTGGCTTTTCCCTTATCTAGCTCACATGAGGCCCACAGGTGTTGTAGCCCTGCCTGGTCTGCCCCCATCCCAACTCACACTCTCCAGTGGGAGTGGTTGTCCAGCAGGGGAGCCCACACTGCCCCTGCTGGCTTTGTCCCCTCCCTCCCTGGTTCTCACATGTATTGTGTACTATGGCCACATCTGGTACAGCTCACCTCACCTTGGCATTCTGTAATGTGCACTGGTTTTTGTTATGACTGAACCTGGCCCGACCCACACTCTGTTCTGGTGCTCGGATTCTCCAGCAGGTGATGTGAACTGGTTCAGCCTGGTCTGCCCCTGACCAGTGCCAAATGTATGCCAGTCGGTATCTTTTTCTTGCCTGGTCTGGGTTGCTCCCTATTGTGGTTCTTGTGCTCACCTGCAGGGACTGTGTCCTGACAGAGGAATTTCCCAAGCTCATCCATCAGAACCTCTCCCAATGCCAGATCTCATGCGTGTACTGGTGAGTCCTTGGGGCAGCCCTATTTAGTCCACCTCCTGGCCTGGCAGGAACAGTGGCCTTTCCTTGCTGGTCTTTAATCCATTCCGGTTCTTACTGTAGGATGTTTCAGCCCAGCCAATGCTCATCCATGTTGGGGTCTGTGCAGTGGACGTGGGGGGACGCAAAGGTGTGAAGAATATTGTTCCATTGCAGGCAGGGCCGCAAGAAATTTCCCGCTGTATGGCTGGGCCACCTGAATGCAGCTCCACCTTCTTTTGCATGGACACTGGACCATCCTGTGGAATATTTCTAATCCATTCAGGCATTGTTTGCTGCTGTGGAGTTGGCTTTTTTACCCAATGTGAGCTTGGAGGTTAATGTCAATAACAACATCTGGCAAAAGGGCCTTCTATTATTCCTACTGCCTTGTACTTCCTCTGCTGTGCTTAGAGAAGCAGCCAGTTTTCCAAGCAAGTGATGGAGACAGAGGCAGACAGAGATGTTCCGTCTGCCAGTTCATTCCCCAGACCACTGCAACCAGGATATTCAGGAGCCCAGAACTCATCTGGGTTTGTCCTGTGGATGGCAGACACAGTTCTGAGCTCTCACGGTGTGCTTCCCAGAGTGCACGTTGGCAGGAGGTTGGAACCAGAGGCGGATCCAGGGTGTGCTCAGGTACTGCAACGAGGGGCGCATGCGTCCCAGGCTGAGCTTAACTGCTTGCTACCCCAGATCATTACTCCTCACTTTCCTCTTAATGTAAGTGTCTTAGCAGCTGCCAGGATTAAGATGTGCCTCCCCCACTTGGTCCAGTCTCTCTCTGGCAAATGAAGGTGTGCGGCCACCTCTCTGGTACTCTCAACCCACCTGAGACTGCTGGCTCTGCTTCTCATTCTTTTAGCATGTGTCTAGGTTGCACCTCACCAAGCTGGAGCCCACAGGCTGAATCAGGGGGCCACCACAGGGTCTCTACAGCTTGCAAGCTGGAGAAAAAAATTTCCGAAGAACAGTACTATTGTCTGCCATGTGCAAATAATATGAAATGCACATTTCACTGTCAATGAAGTTTTATTGGGACACAGCCACATCTGCATTCCCTCTAAGGCTCTTGAGAGAGAGAGACATCGGACCGATCTTGTGGCAGGAGGAGCCCTGGGGAGGGTGTTCAGCTGTGGGGCTTCGGTGAAAGGCGCCCTGAGCAGTGTGGCAGCTGTGGGGGATACCCGAGCCAGGCCAGACCCAATGCTTGGGACTCTGGCCATGGACACCATCGCCATGTGGTAAGCGAGTCCTGGGCTTTTGGGAGGCCAGCGTGCCAAGTGGCGCCAGGCTCCGCCTGCTGGGGTATGTGATTGCTGCCTAGGGACATCCATGGATAAGACCAATGAGAGTGTAGGTGACAGATGAATCCTGTGTGATTCCAGCGACGGAGTCACTGGATTTGCTGGCAAGGGTGGGGAACTGAGACCTGGTGGTTTGGCGGGGAGAGTCCATAAGATCTGTATGAGTCAGATTCACCAGCCCACATGGGAGTCCTGAGCTGGGATGTTAGTGTAGAGCATCACTGACTGTCACACACCAGTCCACAAAAAAGATATCTGTCTGGCAGGGCCAGTTCCCAGTACCTGACTGAGTGGTGGAACAGGGGATGGATCAAGACACTAGCCAGCAGGTGAGAGAACCAGGTGCGGGGGTAGATTCTGTGGGAGATGTGTGGGCTCAACCCTGTGGAATGCAAGTCCCGCTGGTTAGCTCAAGAGTTTAGGTGGTGATAGGCTGAGATAAGAGTAACTGTGGAAACCACCAACATTCACAGCTGCTGGGACTGGAAACAGGCTGGGCAAGTCCAGGCTGCAGCACTCAAATGTGCATCCTACCACAGGGTATGAGGTGGGCCGGGCTGCAAAATCCTCCAGCTCATACATGTGAGTCGGAGGGGCGGGCTATGCCATGCAAGGACCTAGCACCTGCGGGAGCATGTGAGCTCTGGGTCAGGGAGTGGGCTGAGTGGAGAACCTGAGAATTTGGGGAATCTATATGCTCACAGTTTCCACTGGTGAGCATGTGTTTCAGGCCTGGGTGTTGGCAACCTGAGCAAGGTAACTCCAACTGTTGTATAATGTGTGTGTTGGTTTTGGAGGGGGTAGACTGGGCAGGGCTGAACCAACCTTACCTCACTGGCAAGAGAAGAAACTAGGCTGGAGCACGGGTCAAGCTCAGCTAGGCTGTCACACCTACCAGGTTGCATGCAACTGGGAGGGGAGCAGACAGAGCAGGGCCAGGTTCTAGCACCCACCAGCGAGTGGTGAGACTTGGGGTAGACTGGGTCAGGCCAGGCTACAGCGTCCAAAGCAAAGGTCATGACAGGTGAGGGACTAGGTCAAGCTGGGTCAGAGCAATCACTGCTACATGTAAGATCTATAGCTGGGAACACACCTAGTTGGGGAGCTAAGGGGATGCCCTGGCTGGGTTGTGGTTCCCACTGGTAAGCACTGGGCTGGAATGGGAGCCATGTTCTGGTCTGGATATGGCTGCAGCATACCTTGGCACAAGTGTGGATTGGGGCTGGGTACACCTAACCTGGTTAGATGCCAGCACCATCTGCTGCTTGTGAGGACCAGGATAAGTGTAGGATGGGCTAGGCTAGGTTTTTGCCCCTGATGGATGTGAGCTGTGTCTCCGTGTGGACCAGGCAAGACTGGGCTGTAACACCCAACAATAATAACCGGAATGGATTGAAGGCCAGCAAGGAAAGACCATTGTTCCTGCTAGGTCAAGAGGTGGACTGAGTAGGGCTGGCCCATGGACGCCCTGGTATGTGCGAGATCTGGCATTAGGAGAGGTTCTGATGGAGGAGCTTGGGAAATTCCTCTGTCAGGGCACAGTCCCTGCAGGTGAGCACAAGAACCACAATAGGGAGCAACCCAGACCAGGCAAGAAAAAGATACCGACTGGCATACATTTGGCACTGGTCAGGGGTAGACCAGGCTGAACCACTTCACATCACCCAAGGGAGAATCCAAACACCAGAATGGAGTGTGGATCATGTCAGGTTCGGTGGCATCACACACCAGTACATATTACAGCTGGGATTGGGTGCATGCTGGGCTGGGCTAGGCTGTAACCCTCGCCAGCATCAGCTGGAATTGGGGTGGGCCAGGCCAGGCCAGGCTACAGCACCCACTGGCAAAAGCTGAGGTCAGGCAGGCTGTACCAGACGGACTGTGGCACCCAACCAGCACACATAAGACCCGGTGGGGGAAGAGGGGAAAAGTTGGTAGGGGGCATATGGAGGGCTCCGCTGTTGGACCCCCACTCCCACTGGAGAGTATGAGTTGGGATGGGGGCAGACCAAGCCAGGCAGGGCTACAAGTGAGCTAGACCAGGGAAAAGGCAGGCTTGGTTGACTGTTCTTACTGGTGCAAGCATAGGTCAGAGTGGGTGTCAGTTGCTTGGGCTTTACCTCAGTGTCAGCTAGCAGATGCTGGCACAGGGGACTAATTCTGTCAAGCCAAACTTCAGAACCATCTAGAGAGTGAATGATCCGGGAATTGGAGTGGGCCCAGCATGGAAACAGCGGGCACTTCCCTCTTGGGATGCCACTCTGTCCGGTGAGCATGAGAACCAGGACTGAGCAGGCATGGCTAGACAGAGTGGCACCTGTTGGCAGGTGTGTGGGCTGGACAGTGGGGCTGGTTGGGTTGTACTAGACTTGAATGCTCGTTGACATGTATGTATGGGACAGACTAGACCAGCCTGCTGTACATACTGGCAAGCATGGAAATTAGGGTAGCGGGCAGGCAAGGTGGGGGTTATGGGGAATAGCCCCAACTAGGCTGCTGCTCCCACTGATTTACATGGCCAAGTGTGTGGTGGGCAGAATTGAGATGAGTTTGTGTAGAAGATGGGTCTGGAGGCAGAACTGACCCAGCAATTGCACTTGATCTTAGCCAAAAGGCCGAGAAGCGATGACCCAGCAATTGCAACCACCAGAATATGCATAGGCTGATAGGGATGATGGACTGTACTGGACCCTGTACTGGCAAGCACATCCAAAAATCTGATCTGGAATCACTTCAGACGAAGTTTCTTTGGGGAGCCCCCCAATTGAACTGCCAGACTCAGAACCCCAACCATGAAGAGAAGTGCAGGTTCCATGCTTGGATTGTGGAGTGCATGTGTCAAAGCTGAGCCTACTCAGTGGCTCAAACAGAGCGGTGGACACATATCCAGGTGGACATGGAGGACATGGTAGTACGTTGGAGCCTTCAGAAGACACCTGACACCGTAAAAGAAGACAGAACAAATTGATCAATTAGCCCAGCCAAGTGTTGGCAGTGAAAAGCTGGGCAAGTGGAGTTGCCAAGGTGAACTACATCAGCCAGCAGATTCTGGAGATTTCACTGTGCTTGGAATGACGAGATTGGCAGCAATTCAGAACTGCTGAACTATCAAAACCACTTGAGCAGTGCCCCATATCGGGAACCCTGGGATGGGCAGGAGGCTGGGTGTGGCTTCTCCCTATGTGTCTCCCCTTTCCCCAGACACAGGAAAGAAAAAAGAGAATGTGGAAACAATAGTCTTACCCACTTTCCTGTAGCCCTTGACCCTTTGCGCCCTAATCAACTATGTAAAGATCACCAAAATAATTTTTAAAAAAGCATTGAACCTTCCATGGGAAAGTGGCTGGCTTTGCTCCGGGGCTCACCCCTGGCTGCCACGGGACCCCTTCAGCACGACCCTCCCACGCCTTGTGCCTTGTCCCAGTGGTTGTTCCTGGCCTGGAATATTCTAGGGCTGATTTCCATGATCATATTGCCTCCAACTTCCAGATAGAACTCCGGTGCAGGAGTGCCAGGTGCAGCCCCCGAAGTGCTTCACCCCATGCTTCCTGGCTCCACCTCTCTCATTTCCACCTGCCTAATTTCTGCCATTTTGATGAGTGCAAAATGTTCGTAATGCCGTCTTGATTTGCGCTTCTCTGATGTCTAGCAACTTTGAATATTTCTAGTGTCTGGGTTCTTAACTGACAATTTTCTTGTTGAAATTAAACTAATATATTTTCTAAATGAGTTGAAACAACATTTTTTTTAAATAAAAGATGTATTTATTCAAAAGGTGGAGATTTAGTGACAGAGGGAGAGAAGTAGGGAGGGAGAAAAAGAGAGATTTTTTATTTACTGGCTTACACCCCAAAAGGCCACAACTTTCTGGTCTGGGTCGGACCGAAGCCAGGGGCTCCCTCCAGGTCTCCCACATGGCTAGCAGGAGCCCAAGCACTTAAGCCATCTTCAGTCCCATATAGAGTGCCACTATTGCAAGTGGCAGCTTAATGTGCTATGCCACAATGTTGCTCCCATTCTAAAATGTTTTTTATTAAGATTTATTTATTTGTATTGGAAAATCAGATATACAGAGAAGAGGAGAGACAGAGAGGAAGATCTTCTGTCCAATGATTCGCTCCCCAAGTGACCACAGCAGCCAGAGCTGACCCCACCTGAAGCCAGGAGCTTGTTCCAGGTCTCCCATGCGGGTACAGGATCCCAAGGCTTTGGCCCATCCTGAACTGCTTTCCCAGGCCACAAGCAGGGAGCTGGATGGAAAGTAGAGTTGCCGGGATTAGAATTGGCACCAATATGGGATCCTGGTACGTGCAAGGCAAGGATCTTAGCCACTAGGCTACAATGCCGGGCCTCTAAAATTTTTTTAACCAAAACAAACCAACCAAAAAAACCCCAAAACCAAAACCAACCAACCAACCGACCAAACAAACGTGCATACATTTACCCAACATTCCTGCCTTGTTCCACCGTGAAGTGTGTGTTCTAGAAAGGGGCTCACAGAGGCTGCTCTGATGGACTTCTTTTAGGGTCCATCTTTTGACCTCTGCCAGGGTCAAAGTTCAGTTCTCTTCGGTCATGTGACTTCTTGGCAATCCGCAGGATCTGTGTTTCCTCGTGTGTCCAATGCAGCAACAGTGCTTGGATGAACATGCTTGGCAAGAGTAGGTGTTTGGCCCAGTAGTTAAGATACCTGCGTCTCAGGTGGGAGGGCCCAGAGCCCACGCTGGCCCTGTCCCCGACTCTAGCTTCCTCTCCTGCAGACCCTGGGGAGCTCCAGTGGCTGGGTTCCTGTCATGCATGTAGGATGCTTGGATGGAGTTCCCTACTCCTAGCAGTTAGCTTTGGCCCCGGCCACTGCAGGTGCTGGAGGAGTGACACAAAACAGGTTAGGGAGGAATATCAGCTGTGATGGTTAAACCCCCTGGGGCTCAGGGAAA